CATCATCAGCATCATGAGCATCATCAGCATCCTCAGCATCAGCATCAGCATCAACATCATCAACATCATCATCATCATCATCATCATCATCATCATCATCATCATCATCATCATCATCATCATCATCATCATCATCATCATCATCATCATCATCAGCATCATCATCATCATCATCATCATCATCATCATCATCATCATCATCATCATCATCATCATCGTCATCATCATCAGCAGCATCATCATCATCAGCATCATCATCATCATTATCATCAGCAACAGCATCATCAGCATCATCAGCATCAGCATCAGCATCATCTTCGTCAGCATCATCATCATCATCATCATCATCAGCATCATCATCATCATCATCATCGTCATCGCCATCGCCATCGTCATCATCATCGTCTCATCATCATCATCACCACCACCAACATCATCATCTTTATCATCAACACACTCATAATCGTAATCAGAATGATCAGCAGCAGCATCACCATTATCATCAGCATCATCATCCTCAGCAACATCATCATCATCATCATCATCATCATCACCCCAGCATCACCACCATCATCATCATCATCATCATCATCATCAGCATCATCATTATCAGCTTGCTCCTCATCATCCTCCCAGTCGTCCTGACTCACGCATGATGCGTGAAATGCTGCGTGAGCTTGCAACTGCTAACTTCAGGACGGCACCTCAGTTGCGAGCCAGACTGGCTTTCGGTCGCACTGTCTTCACCTCCAGTGTTGCCCCCAGGTGGCAACAGCGGGCAGCCGCAGCCGCACTGGTGGCACTCCTACGGCAAGAACAGAGGCTTCCAGACGAGAGGCGGTGAGCGTTCGAGGCCGAGAGGGCTTCTTCGCGGCGCCCTGCACTTCCTGCGGTTCCCCCACGCCATGATGCGGATGACGGAGAACGACTGCAGTGGCAGTGGTCCGAGAGTCGCTGGCGGCGTGGGCAAGGGGGATGCAAGAAGAATGGCGCGAGACCCTCTTGCTGCAAGCACTGCGGTGCAAGGAGGAGCTACGATGACGACGAAATGTGAGACCATGGCAATCAGAATGGCCCTCTTCCTCTGGTGCCTGGGCCTCAGCATCAGTAGCGGCAGCAGTCTTCCAGCGGACGGGCAGATGGTAAGGAAACATCCGCCGACGAGCTGCGTGCTATGGTGGAGCTCTTCACCAAGGCTGACGACTACGAGCTCGACCGCTTGGCCGAGCGCGATGAGGCGTATGCCAAGCAGCAGGCAGCAGCTCAGGCAGCTCGCGATGTACTCGACGGTGCTGATGCGAAGTGCAGGGCCTGCGTCAAGGAGCTTGCTGGTGATGTGCAGCGGCAGAAGGCTCCTCATCCAGTACCAGCTGCACCCAAGATCGGCAGTGCAGACCTCCTTCGCGGCAGGACTGGCGGCGAACCTCCTGCCGCTGTGGCCTAACCCTAACCTTGACGGGGTCGAGTTTGTGGAGCCCGAGCGTGAAGTCAAGCCAGCTGAGCTAGTCGGTCCAGGGCACGATCGGGAGAGTTCAGAATCGAATCGATACGTCGGATCGGCGATCCAAAGGAGTCGGATCGGCGAAGATCGGCAGCCGAGTCGAGAGAGCTCGAATCGGCGGAACTCGGCAGGCTCGCAGGCCTCGAGAGAGCCACCGGAACCCGAATCGGCATCCGAGGCCGACCCCACTCGGAAACGGAAGCCATCGAAGTCGAACCGAACCGCATCGGAGGGTGCCCTCCTCCTCCTCCTCCTCCTCCTCCTCCTCCTCCTCCTCCTCCTCCTCCTCCTCCTCCTCCTCCTCCTCCTCCTTCTGCTCCTCCTGCTCCTCCTCCTCATCCCGAGCCCTCCAAGCGCCCCGCACGAGCGGCGTTGGCACAGCACGCGCCGGCGCCGCGCCCGGCCTGTCGCCCAGGGGTCCGCCTCCCCGGGGGGGTGGGGGGCCTGCCCAGAGGTCCGGGCATCGGCCCGGCCCGGACACCGCCGAGGCGACGGCGGCCACAGCACGCTCCTGGGCGCGTGCTCTGGCGGCTAGGACATCCAACAGCTGCTCCAGCTTCGCCCCGAGCTCGGCCATCCCGCTGACAGCACGCAGCGCTCGCGCCTTGGCCTGCTCCAGCAAGCCCTCAGTCCTCTTGATCCGCTGGGCCCTGTCGTCCGCCAGCATCTAGGCAGCCCTGACCTCTGTGTTCTTGGAGAGATCACCCAGCCGCCTGGCTTGCAGGATCCCCCGCTTGGTCTTGGCGTCGATGGCGTCGAGCAGCTTGGCCGCAGGGGATATGTCGACCCCCTGTCCCAGGCTTTCGGGATGTTCGGTTCGAATGGGCCAGAAGTTCCGGGCCCAGCCCTGGGATCTACGATGAGTGGGGGGGCGTCAGGCCTCGACTAGGGGTGCGTCCGCACAGCCCAAGCGGGGTGTATCCCAGGGGTCCCCCTTTGGCCTGAGAGGCCAATCAGTTCGGGCGGAATCCGGGGACTGGGGGACAAAAACCGCCTGCGAGCATCTCGTTATGGATTCTTGCGGGCAAGACTTTTATCCACATCAACTGCGCCTTGAAGCTTCTGGGGAAGGGGCGCCAAAAGGCCGAGGCGCAGTGGATGTGGATGAGAATCTAGCCTCTAGGCGCCCGACTTTGTTATCCATATCCACTGCGCCTCTGGTTTCTGGGGAAGGGAGCCCGGAACTCCAGAAGCAACGGGCATGGATACAAATCTTGCCCGCAACTCTGTGCGGTGCGTGTCTGCATCACATTTCCTTTCAAAATGCGGTCTGTCTGGAATGTGCAACCGTGAATTTACCAGACACGGCCCCACCACATACGAAAAAGTTGAAAGGGAAACATCTTACAACCCTGGTTTGAGAGTCGACCTTCCCCTCCCTGGATCTGGTAATCCAGTGGCGAGTGGTTCCTGCCACGTGCTGCCAGAAGCTACTGTGGCCTCCGCCCCTTCCCCGCAGGTGAGCAATGCTCCCTGTTCTGTCTCTGGCGCTGCATCGGCTCCCAGGCTTTGGAGAATATTCCGCCCGGTGAGTCGGCCGATCTCACTCGAGTGCGAGACTCGCTCCGTCGGGGGGAGGAGGTGGCACGAGAGCTTGACACTATTTCAGATGAGTCTGCTTAACTGACCCTGCTTCTCCCCGACCAGGCATCGCCATCCTGGTAGGTGTATGCCGGCAGCTGTCCCGTCGATGCTAGAAAATCCTCTTCGTCCTCCTCCTCTTCCGCCTCCTCCCCCTCCTCCTCCTCCTCCTCCTCCTCCTCCTCCTCCTCCTCCTCCTCCTCCTCCTCCTCCTCCGCCTCCTCCTCCTCCTCCTCTCCTCCTCCTCCTCCTCCCCTCCTCCCCCCTCCTCATCCTCCCCCTCCTCCTCCTCCTCCTCCTCCTCCTCCTCCCTCCCTCCCCCTCCCTCCCTCCCTCCCTCCCCTCCCCTCCCCTCCCTCCCCTCCCCCTCCCCTCCCCTCCCCTCCCCTTCCCTTCCCTTCCCTTCCCTTCCCTTCCCTTCCCTTCCCTTCCCTTCCCTTCCCTTCCTCCTCCGCCGCCTCCGCCTCCGCCTCCAGCTCCTCCTCCGCCTCCTCCTCCTCCTCCGCCGCCTCACCTCCGCATCCGCGTACGCCTCCGCCTCAAGATCGGTCCACGGATCCTTCCCCAGGCCCAAACGCGTCATCTCAAGCTGCGCCCAGCCGTGGCGACGAGGGGCGAGGGGCTCCCTGAAGGCCAACGACCGTCGTCTCAACTCGCCCTTCTCTGAACCCCCAGGAAGGTGGAGAAGGACGAGGCGGGGTGAGAAGGACGAGGAGCGAAGAGGACGAGGAGGGGGGACGAGGACGAGGAGGGGGGAGAAGGAGCGAAAGGGAGAGGAGCGGAGCAAGGGAGAGGGCGGGGGAGAAAGGGAGCGCCTCCCTCCCCCCGTCACCCTCCTCGCTCTGGCTTCCTGGTGATGACTCGGGCCTCATGCGGCCATTCGGGCCGATCTGGGCACCCCGGGAACGCCCCTGGCGAGGCACAGCTGCTTGAGGGCATCCCCCGAGAACCCCCCCCCCTGGCGCCGCCGATTGCTGCGCGATGTTTTCCTCGCACGCCTGCCGCCCGCGGCGGGACCGCCGACGCCCGGGGAGCTCCGCGGCGGCACCGCCCGAGAGCCCGGTGCCTAGCACCGCAAGGCGCCGAGGGCCCAGTGGGAGCTCGCCCATCCGACTCCTCCCCACTCACCCTCCTCCTCCTCCCCACTCCCCCTCCTCCTCCCTCCTCCTCCTCCTCCTCCTCCTCCTCTTCCTCCTCCTCCTCCTCCTCCTCCTCCTCCCCTCCTCCTCCTCCTCCTCCTCCTCCTGCTCATCATCATCATCATCATCATCATCATCATCATCATCATCATCATCATCATCATCATCATCATCATCATCATCATCATCATCATCATCATCATCAGCCACCACCATCATCATCATCATCATCATCATCATCATCATCATCATCATCATCATCATCATCATCATCATCGTCATCATCATCATCATCATCAGCAGCAGCAGCAGCAGCATCATCATCATCCTCATCATCATCATCATCAGCATCAGCAGCAGCATCATCATCATCATCCTCATCATCATCATCATCAGCAGCAGCATCATCCTCATCATCAGCAGCATCAGCAGCATCAGCATCATCATCATCATCAGCATCATCATCACCACCATCACCACCACCATCATCAGCAGCAGCAGCATCAGCATCAGCATCAGCATCAGCATCATAATCATCCTCATCATCATCATCATCATCATCATCATCAGCATCATCATCATCATCACCATCATCACCATCATCACCATCATCACCATCACCATCACCATCACCATCCCCTCCCCCTGCTCCTCCTCCTCCTCCTCCTCCTCCTCCTCCTCCTCCTCCTCTTCATCCTCATCCTCCTCCTCCTCCTCCCTCCCTCCCTCCCTCCCTCCCTCCTTCGTTTACTGGCCCTCTCCAGGGCTCCGTTTCTTCCACGCGGGACTTCTACAGAGGCCTCGGGAGCACGCGCGTTTGGAGGCCTCGGCCTCCAACATGCCCTGAGATGATCCCCAATGTGCGTGCGTGAGCATCTTAATAATACGAATAAAAGAAAGACAAAAAAAACAACGAAAGAACACACATGTAATAAAGACGTGCGTGTTTGAGCCCTGCTGGGGGGCATTCTGAGCTGGCTTGGAGCTCAGGGGGCAAACCCAAGCGGCCCAATCCATGAGATGGATTGGGCCTGCTGGCGCGACTGAAACATCGTTTGCTTTTTCAGTCTTGTGCCCCGAGATCGCCAAGAGGGGCCCGAGAGGCCCCCAGGACGGGCGCAAGAGGGCCGCAAAAGGGAGGGGCCCGCACTGACTGCTGGAGAGCCCTCCACCCCAAGACGGCTCCCAGGACTGCCAGCAGGCCCCCAGCAAGCGCTGGAGGAGGAGGATCCCAGCGGCCCCCACGAGGCCCACAGGAGGCGTGCGGGAGACTTCCGAGAAGCCCCCCGACTTGCCATCGCTCGAGCGTCCGTGTCCCGTGCACGTCTCGATTTCGCGCGCGCCTTTGTCTGTCTCGCAAGATGATACACGGGGATTACCGATGGCCCTCGCGGAGGAAAAAGTGCACACGTCCAAGGGATGCCAAGCCAAGAGGCTACAAGAAGCCCCCCAGAGGCCCCGCGAGGTCCCCCGAGGCAGACCCCAGCCTCTTGTCCACGACCCCAGCAAAGGTGGCTGGATGACTGGATCGATTGCGCGCATGAGTGCAAGGCGTTTTGCTCCTCCTCCTCCTCCTCCTCCGCCTCCTCCTCCACGCATGAAAAGATACTTGCTTGCAAAACTGCGTTCATACTTGCTTCAATGCACGATTTCAAGTGTGTCAACATGCATTGTCGCTTGCATGCTCGCTTGATTGTGTGATTGCATGTCTGGTCACTTGACTGCAACAATGTTTGCCTGCCCCGCTGTCGTTGCTTGCTTGCTCCCGCCTGTGTCTAGTTCTTTCTGGCACGCCGGTAGATATTCCGCTGATGGTTCGCCGGGAGAGGCAAAAAGGGGGGGGTAGCCCAAGACTGTACATCACACGTATTCGCCCGGGAGCTGCGCCGAACGCGTGGGCGAGTGGATTCCCTGGATATTTGCACATCATCAACAACAACAACAACAACAACCACAACATCATCATCATCATCATCATCATCAGCATCATCATCATCATCATCATCATCCATCATCATCATCATCATCATCATCATCATCATCAACAACAACAACAACAACAACAACAACAACAACAACAACAACAACAACAACAACAACAACATCAACATCAACATCAACATCACCAACATCATCAGCATCAATATCAGCATCAGCATCAGCATCATCATCAGCAGCAGCATCCTCATCATCATCTTCATCTGCATCATCATCCTCATCCTCACCCTCATCATCAGCAGCAGCATCATCATCGTCATCATCTACATCTTCATTATCATCGTCACCAT